CCGGATTTACATTGAACCCTATGGGGAAATTTGCGTCGGGTTACGACCAACTCGGGATACGTCCAGAGTCACGGAACGCATTAAGTTTGTATCCCGAGGTACCACTGTATAACATCCAAAGCTTCTGGATAAAAAGGCACTAAGCATGCATTAGAAACATACATACGAAAAATGTATTCTACAATAACAAACTTGGTTTAACTGGAAATTTTAGTTGATTAAGCAACATGTCTCTTCTTCATTTGACATCACCATCATCGATTAAGCGCACTGACCAATGGCCAAAGAGATAACCACAAACTCAATCACTGTAGGTACCTTCTCTGTATGTGAGACTAAGTGATGATCTGATTTGACTGGGTATTGATTTACCCCATATTCTATACTCCATCATGGTGTTATACGCTCCCAACACCAGGAGCCAAAAAGTATGCAGACGAATGCTTCTGGACCAAATGTAGTTTCCAAATACTCTTTATGAGTAGCCCCCAAGTAGAGCACACTGCAGTAGTACAACTGGGTGGTGATAAGGGCATGAATTACAAGTACTCAGGTTCTCTTGAGCCAGGTAGACCTGGTAAAGCTGGGCACAGGCCACCCTAGCCATGGCTTCCACCTGTTGATCCAGCAGGAGCTTTAAGTCCAGAAAGTCCCCCAAGCTGCAGGCCTGCTCCCTGAAAGGTAGTACTTGCCCATCAAGGAGTAACTTTGGCAGCATCAGTAGCAACTCTGGTTTAGACCCAAACAGCCTCTAGGTACCAGGAAAGAATGACACCATCTCCCTCATGATTCAGCATACCAATGTACAATTAGGTATCTTCAGCATATTGATATTAAACTTGAACTGTCAAATGACCTCTCTCAACAGCTTTGTATAGATGATAAAAACTAGGGGAGACGTGGTCCATCTCTAAAGCTACCCACAAGTCAGGGGCCACCAAGCCAACTTCTCTTCCCCCACCAGCACCGATTAGAACCACTCACTGAGGAAGGAACAGAACCATTGTAAAACAATGCCTGCTATCCCCAACTCTTACAGGTGGTCCAAGAGGATACTGTAAATGGTGTTAAAAGCCACTGAGAGGTCTAATAAGACCAGAATGGAACAGCCTCCCCAAGATCTGGATGGCCTCAACCCTGTTGACATTCCAGAAGGCTATGAAAAGTTGGCTTTTCTCTTAGCTGTTAGGGCCAGTTGTGAACGGAGCCTGATATGTGTGTGTTTGGGATTAAGAGTTGTTTATGAGATTCCTGATTCCTTATATATTTATTATGTTTGCTTTTAATTGTATTTTTGTTGCTTTATTTTGGTTTTGTATTGATAGCCACTCAGTTATTTGCCTGAGATAGGTGGCCATATAATTTTATTTTTTTATCATAACTTTATTAAATTTTAAAAGAGAAAGATAAAATCTAACAAGAACAAATAATCAAGAGATAGGTGGCCATATAATTTTATATAGACAAATAAATCCAGGTCATAATGCAGGCAATCCAAGAGAGCAACCAAAGATATCTCCATCTCAAACCTAGGCCTGAACTTTGATTGTATTTTATGATGCCGTGAAGTGTCCTGAGTCTATATGTGGAATACAAAAATTCAGGATGACGACGATGACGATGATGGAGGAGGAAGAGGAAGATTGATGATTTGGGAGGGGATATTATCTTTACATTAGGAGCCAGTTTGGTGTAGTGGTTAAGACATCAGGTTAAAAACTAGGAGAGGCTTGACACTGCCTTCTTCCTAAGATTGACAGAGAGGGACTGGCCCAAGGTCACCCAGCTGGCTTTGTGGCTAAGGTAGTATTAGACTTCATGGCCTTCTCGTTTCTAGCCTGGTACCTTAACCACTACACCAAACTGGCTCTCACAATGAGGTATACTCGGTGAGTACTTGTTTCTACCTTCTGAAGTTTGGGAAATGGGTGAATTTCAGGATAAACACAATGAGTGGGAATGATCCCTAATTGTGCCCTCCAGTATGGATTTGATGAACTGCACCTCTGGAAGGGAATGCTGAATTGAGAAATTTCTAGCCTGTATCATTGAAAGAAGCATCAGTGATGGCACTAGTACCAAAGCCAGCAATGGTTTGGTTGCTACTGAAGGAAAGGCTTGCCCTACTGAAGTAGTTAAGTTCAGCTTATCTTTTTTTTCCCCTTGGATTCCGGAACTGTAGCAGGTGTGAACTCTTTCTGTTTGTGAGACAAGCTTGCTGACAGTTGTTCTGACAAGGCCACACATCTTGAAGCAATTGGCTTGATGCTTATAAATATACTTGGGGTGAGTAGGGCCAAAGCCTCCATTTGATGTTGTGATGATGGTGGAGCTGATTATTGCTTGCTATACTTTGCTTTGCTGCTGTGGAAAAGTCCTTCTTCAGAATGGATGGAAATTATGAATAACATATAAAGTAAAATGGAGCCTTCTTGGCCAGAGCAGTTGAACAGTGGAATTTGTTAACCAGAGAAGCAGTCTGTTTCTCTTCAGTGGATGTTTGATGTTATCTATCAAGGATACTTTGACTAAATTTCTGCACTAAGCAGGGGTTGGACTTGATTGTCCTATGAAATTTTCTATCAGATAAACTGTCTCTATGTACATTAACAGAGCAAAGGAAAATAGGAATGAATACACACACATACACACACACAGGCATTTTAAAATAGGAGCCACATTCTCTCAGAGAGGGACTTAGTCAAAATGAGTCCCACATAGATGAAAGGATGGGATAAAAGGCTCCTGTCATACTCTTTGTAAGTATCACTGAAATCCAGGACTGTGCCCTATTTTATTTGAACTTCGGCTCTATTGTATTATATTCAATTGAACTGAATGTTTTAATGTCTACTAGACAACCTGTAACCCATTGGGTTCATGTTTCAGAGATATTTCTTTACCTAAACAGAGAAACAGAATGACCACAGGCAGGCAAAAAAGCAGTGGGAGTGGGAGTGAGTTTCAACTTCCTGCTGGCTTCCCCATTGACCTTCCTTGTGGAAAGATGGCAGGGAGCATTTGAAACCTTCCTTCCTTCCTTCCTTCCTTCCTTCCTTCCTTCCTTCCTTCCTTCCTTCCTTCCCCCAGCCAAATGGGTGCAGGGACAGGGAGAGGCAGGAAAGGGGTAAGGGATATGCCCATGACAATCACATGACCTGGGCTGACCAAGGTGGCGCAGCAGTGCAGCAGTGCTGAAGCAGCCACAAATTTCCCAAATTGCAATCCCGTGGGAGTAATGGTTCCCAGATTTTGGACGCACTCTATAAGTTGCTCATTTGAGGTACCTTGGTTCAAAAATTGTTGCTCTATGATGCACTGTTTTGCCCAGTTGAAGGTTACAGACACAAGAGTTTTAGTAGTATATAGATTTAAATAAAGCACTATTTTCAGAACCAGTTATTCAGGAGGGCATTATACGTCATCCTGAACAGCAAATCAAGTCCAACAAGGAATACAATGGGAAGGAGGAAATAATTCCTTCATAATGACCTTAGCTAAAAGGAGAAGTCAATGTAATCTTGTTTTGGCAAATGTATCTCATCCTGCTTCTTCCGCTTCTGTGGAGTCTTTCACTGACAATTACTGAATTGAACTGTTTATTCCTTCCTATTACCAAGATTGCTTTGGATCAGGTTGCTCCTGCCTGCATATATGCACTGAGAACTAGGATACCACAACCATGATTGTCTGCAGTCCTAGGGAGGAAGAGGGTTGCTGTAAGCACACACCGAAAAGCTCCGGATAATTACTTCACTACCTACAACAGGTTTTCTTTCAAGCTACCTTCATTCCCTGCTCAGGACCTTTCAGCTGCTTTTCTCCACTTTTCATTCTTTATTAGCACCAACCGCCACTGAACTGGGGAATGTTATGTAACAATTGGGGACAATTATATAACAATATAATTGTCCTCAATTTTGATTCATTGTAACGTATTCAATGTTATGCTGTAAGCTAAGACATATGACTGAAGCAGCGCAGAAGCATTTGTGATAAAGACAGACACAGAGATAGATAGTTTTCTACTCCTCTTTTTCAGCTGAGTGCTTGACAGAATTTTTCTCTATTATAGTGGTGAATATTGTTCATCCTTTTCCTCCATCACCCTCTCTAACTTCCACACATTCTGCTTCTGAATTTATCTCTGTCTTAGAGAATGACATTCAACAATTTGTGGAGAGCTCCCTTTATAATACTTCCCATCCTCATCTTTATCCTCCTCTTTTTCTTGTCTTATGTTAAAAGGTTGGTGAACTGTTTTTTCAATTCCAGACTTTTTTAAGTTCGCTTGCAAAGAAACCCCATTGGATCACCTTTTTGCTCATTACCAGCCAATGTCTCTGCTTTTTTTTTTTTTTTTTTTTTTGGTCTAAAGTCCATGAAAGAGTTGCCCTGAGACTTTGTCCTGCAGTAAAATCAGGATTTTGAACAGGCAAATCAAATAAGATGGCACTTACTCAAATTCTGAATGACAGTCTGGTGGCCAAGTCCCAGTGCCTTACACTAGTGCTGGGTCTTTTGGATCTGACGGCAACATCTGACAACTTGACTATCAGATACTGTTGTCCAGGTTACAGTTCCTGGGCATCTTTGGAGGTGTACACGATTGGTTTAAGTCTATTTTGTCTTTTTGTTTTTTGGGGATAGTACAGTGGGGCAAAAAAGTATTTAGTCAGCCACCAATTGTGCAAGTTGTATTGTGAGATTTTGAGTGAACATCTCCTTCCATCAGCAAGGGCATTGACAGTCTGGTGGCCAAGTCCCAGTGCCTTACACTAGTGCTGGGTCTTTTGGATCTGTGTATTGTGAGATTTTGAGTGAACATCTCCTTCCATCAGCAAGGGCATTGACAGTCTGGTGGCCAAGTCCCAGTGCCTTACACTAGTGCTGGGTCTTTTGGATCTGTGTATTGTGAGATTTTGAGTGAACATCTCCTTCCATCAGCAAGGGCATTGACAGTCTGGTGGCCAAGTCCCAGTGCCTTACACTAGTGCTGGGTCTTTTGGATCTGTGTATTGTGAGATTTTGAGTGAACATCTCCTTCCATCAGCAAGGGCATTGACAGTCTGGTGGCCAAGTCCCAGTGCCTTACACTAGTGCTGGGTCTTTTGGATCTGTGTATTGTGAGATTTTGAGTGAACATCTCCTTCCATCAGCAAGGGCATTGACAGTCTGGTGGCCAAGTCCCAGTGCCTTACACTAGTGCTGGGTCTTTTGGATCTGTGTATTGTGAGATTTTGAGTGAACATCTCCTTCCATCAGCAAGGGCATTGACAGTCTGGTGGCCAAGTCCCAGTGCCTTACACTAGTGCTGGGTCTTTTGGATCTGTGTATTGTGAGATTTTGAGTGAACATCTCCTTCCATCAGCAAGGGCATTATTTGCAAATAAATTCTTTAAAAATCAGACACTGTGATTTTCTGGATTTTTTCCCCCATTTTGTCTCTCATAGTTGAGGTATACCTATGATGAAAATTACAGGCCTCTCTCATCTTTTTAAGTGGGAGAACTTGCACAATTGGTGGCTGACTAAATACTTTTTTGCCCCACTGTACATGGTGGATTTCATTCCTGGATATTTCCCTTTGTAGTAGGTGTTCCTCAGGTATTACTCTTGGATCCTATTTTGGTTGCCCTTTACACTGCTCCTTGGGTGTCTTGATTCATGATCAGGGCTTCCAATAACATTGTTATTTTTTACTTATGTATTTATATTTCAAATTTGTCACTGCCCATCTCACCACAGAGTGACTCTCGGCAGTTTACAGCAAAAACAGAATAAGTGTTAATTAAAGTAGATAAATATTTAATTAATTAAAATATACTACAATAACAAACTTCCTATATAATACTTCCAAGAGGCTAATGATATTCAAATTCTTCAGTCTTTTGAGGTCCTTAATGTTAATGCATGGTTATCTGTTTCAGAATGTCTTACTAGCACTTTCCACCACCTTAAGCTGAATTCAGACAAAGCTGAGATTGTTGTGCTTCATTCTGACTGTATGTCCTCTACAGAGTTTTCCTTATCTTCAAGCATTCTTGAATTGCCCCAATTTTCTCTACCAGCTGTGCTGTGGTCTTGACTGTGCACCTTGTTTTTGATTATACATCTAGGAACACTAATTTCACTTATTTTTATTTAATTTTATTTATTCAATTTATATAGCTAGCCATCTCACACGCAAGACTCTGGAAGGCTGACAGACTTAAAAACAATAGTTAGAAATAAACAACCAAAATAAAAACCATTAAAAACCAATTAAAAACCAGTTAAAACTTAATTTGTGGGAGAGTGCAATCAATACAATGACTAACAGTACAACAAATTAACAGGCTCCATATTACCACTGGATCCTCAGGCACAATAACAAGATCATGTCTTGAGAGCCTTCCAAAAGGCCAACAGGATTGTGGCCGGTCTAACCTCACCGGGAATTAAGTTCCAAAGAGCAGAGCCCATGGCAGAAATAGCTCTCCTTTCAGATAACATTCCTTGGTAAACGGGACCAGTAATATGCCTCTCCTGCCAGCCCTGATGGGACGGGTAAATTTAACCAGGGAGAGGCAGTCGCTCAAATAACCTAGACCCATGCCACAGAGGCCTTTATAGGTCATTACCAGCACCCTGAATTGAAACTGGAAGCAAACTAGCAATCAATGTTGCTCATGGAGCAGAGGTGTAATGTGCAATGATCAAGGAGCGCACATAACTGTCCACACCATTGCATTTTGCACCAGCTATAGTTTCCGGATGCTCTTCAAGGGTAACCCCATGTAGAGCGCATTACAGTAATCCATTCTGGAGGTGGTCAGGCCATAGGTGACTGAGAGTAAATCCTCCCGATCTAGGAATGGGAACAACTGACAATACAACTTGAAGTTGCACAAAGGCCCTCCTAGCCACAACTGCCACTCTTAGCCACAACTTGATGAATGTTCATAGGAACCAGGGCTTCCTTGCAGAGGAGATGTTACTGGTGTATGTCTTTGTCTCATGCTTATATTATTCTAATAGTTTCTAATTTCTCTCTCCATCCTCTGACCTTACTCCAAAACAGTGCACCTTGGCTGTTCTAATCCTTTCATCTTATTCTCATATCTTAGTATAGTGCAGGGCTCTTCACTGGCTCCCTACTGGTGCTTGTGCTTAGAGAATCCAATCACAAACTTCCTAATAACCATCTACCCTTTTTTCATTCTTTACATTCCTCTAAGCAGGACCTTCTTTCAGTTTCTCACTCCCAGGTCAGTCTCCAGGTTCCAGGCCTTTAGGGACCTGGCCAGTGATTCTTCTTCCTTTCATCTCTATAGAAATTTGATAGGCTTTAAAAGGGGTTTAAAAATCTTTTTAATTTAATTAATGGTTAAGAGGAGGGTCTGGTTGTTCCACCTAGCTGACTGGTGCAGATTAATACCTTTTTCAAATCATTAGATACATATGCTCTGTCATATGCCCAGCTCATTGTTTCAGATGTATTGTGTTGATCCTTTAGTGTTATTATTTGTTTACTGGGTTCTAAGCCAATTTTATTTGGGTTATTTGTAATCATCGGGGGCGAGGGGTGTTTTGTACCATGCCTTGATAAAGACATGTAATAATTATATTATTATTATCCATGCTGAACACAAGTTCAACATTTCAGTTATTTCTTCTTTTTGCCTTTATATTCAAGAATTTTTTTTTAAACATAAGATATTCAAATTCTCTTTCTAAAAACTATTTAATTTTTGTCAACCCAGAAGAAAATTGGTATCCTGGAACTTAGATTGAATTTGGCTTGTACTGCCTATTATTATATTTTGAAGCACTTGTCCCATTCACTTTCTCTATAAATTCATTAAATTAGAGCCTGAAGTTTTACAGAGCATGTATTTAAACTACTTAACAGCTGCTTCTCCTGGATTCTTGTTTTACTTCAGAGGATTTTTTTTTTCCTGATCACAGGAAGATGATGAATGAAAAGCATTTTCAGTGATGGCACTAACAGTACAGTCATTTCAGGATCATGTAATACTTAATATGCTTTTTAACAGTATTTTTATATTGTAGTTTTAATCTGAATGCATAACTGGAATGGGAACAAGTTGACACATTTTTGGTATAATCACAAATTAAAATTTTTTAATAAAAACACAGCAAAGTCAGCAGTGTCTTTTAAAATTTGGCTTTCCCACAACCATTAATGTACTGCCCATTGCAAATGTTTATTAATTAACATTACAAGCATTACCTTTTCCAGTTCTTCTAAACGCTCGTTCACATCATTCAGCATCCATGTATCTTCCCCTCGCAATCGCTTCAGTTCCTTGCGTTTTTCATCTTTTTCATAATTAGCTTTTGCCTAAAATGGAAAAAAGGATGTGGATAATTCAACAAATTACAAGTATGTATATAAAAAAATACTTAGCTGTTCAGTAAGATACTCAATCTGGAATAAATCAGTAATACTCCATTGTCTCAGAGATACTTGATTTTGCCAAATCAATGAAGCATGGGACCAGCAGATTTTTAAAAGAAAAAGAATTATAGTGAGCTTAATGCTACCAAAAGCTATTATAAGATCTGAAAAGTATAATATGCATATGAATACTTAAGGAAAAGAAAATCAAATTCCAAAACCTACAGCAAATCATTCCATTTATTAAAGAACAAGTTTACTGAAATCTAAATCTTCACAAGTCAAGGCTAACTTCCTCAAATATATTTTTAAACATTGTGGGATTCCATTGCTTGGAATCCTAGAATGGCATACTTTTTTTTTTCTTTTTACTATATATTTATTTATTTAATAACTTGTATGCCTCCTAAACTACTTGTTATTGTATGTTTTTACATGGTTCTAATTGCTTTAGCCTCCCTATACAGTCTAGAAAACAGTGGCTTATCAGGTTTAAAACATGCCATTGGAACTTTCCCAAATGGGTCTGTTTTATTCTCAATTTAAAACATTCTGATTATTTTGCATAACAATCTTCCTATAGCAAGTACACATAAGGGCTGTGCAAAGCACATGAAATGGATACTTCGCAAAGCCCTACCCATGCACACATGTGCATGCACAGACAACCCTTCTGTCTTCCCAGTGAAGCAAAGCTTCAGTGGAGCTAAGCACCCCAGAGGATAGGGCTGGAAATGCTTCACTTGTGCAACACGCTTTGCAAATGCCACTTTCTGATGCTTTACACAACCCTACTAAAATATTCTCAGGACTTACGATAAAAGATACCCAGCTTTGTACATATCACCATATCAAGATTTGGGACTAAAATAAATGCTACTCATATATAGTTGCTCAAACACTGTTTTCTCTTCCCTCCCAAAAGGAAATCAGTAATAAACAAGTATAGAGCCAGCCTAATGTACTGGTTAAGGCACTGGCTAGAAAATGGGAGACTATCACTTCTAGACCTGCCTTAAGCATAAAGCCCGCTGGGGGACTTTGGGCCAGTCTCTCTCTCCCAGTCCTAGGAAGGAGGCAATGGCAAACCATTTCTGAAAAACCTTGCCAAGAAAATTGCAGGGTCTAGTCCAGGCACTCACCAGGAGTCAAAAACTGACTTGAAGACACAAAAATAAGCAAACAAACCTAACATAACATGTGACATCTGGTAAATTGGAAAGTTTAGGCCTTTCCTTGATTTTCTCTATTTGGTTTTTCACAACTGCCCTACAAATTAAAGTTTTTCAGGTTGAGCTCAATTCCTGGTAACTTCATGGATGTATCATGGATCATGGATGTATTTTGTTCTGTTAAATTTGTTGTTTATTAGATTATTTTAATCTGGGCTATTTGATTTAATGTTTTTAACTGTTTTTGTGTTTTTCTAGTTTTGTACGCTGCCCAGAGTCCACTGGAGGTGGGTGGCCAATAAATTTAAATAAATAAATAAATAAATAAATGATGATGATGATGATGATGATGATCTGTATACTTTTCTTAGAAACATTATAGAATTGGTTTTCCTACATCTTTTTCCAGGTTGTTTCTTTCTTTCTTTTTTTTACTTCCCAATCCAGGCTACAGTCCTGGAATTTTCTGAGAATCTCTTATCCAAATCCCTATTTATCTTTCTGAGATCAGACAAGGTTGGCTAGATGCTGTTACCTAACTAGAAAACATAACTAACAACTAATTAATTAGTTTCTATTTTACTATTTCATATGTTTGTTAATGTTTCAAAATAAACTGCTTCTTTTAATGAAAAGCAGCATATACATTTATAAGTAAATGAACATTAATCACACAGAATTGTGTACAATTATCTTTCCTTGTAAATGAAACACAAATGGGTAACGTAATTTCTGAATGTAGATTTTTAGCATTGCAGCATATTTCTGGAATAATAAAATCCAAGCCTTTTCTTGAAATAGTTAGATGAAGAAATAAAGAATATATTGTCATATTGTAGGTAGTGGACAGGCATAGTAAACAATTCCCTTCATTCCCATTAAGTTAGCTGCAGCACTGAAAAATTATTCTTTATACAGATGGTCCTCATTTAGCAACCACAATTGGGACTGGCAAAGTGAAACCACGACTGTGCTTATGAACTTACTTTGGTTCCCCTTTGCTTTATAGACCTGCAAAGGTCATAATTGCGAGGATTGGTTGCAAGGTTAATTTTTCATCACCATTGTAACTGCAAATGGTTGCTAAATGAGGCAGTCATTAAACAAGGATTACCTGTATTCCAAATTTCATTTACCTAAGAGTAATCACATTTCTAAATAGCATATCAGAGATATTTACAACTTCTAACACATACATTACACTTTCCTCATCCTAAATGTTTAGTTACTACATTTAGTTTATTACTTTTCCTTTCAAAGTAGAAACAAAGATCAGTGACCTCTTAATTCATTTGCCCAATGCAGTCTCACAGACCTTACTCATTTCTTTGCTTCTGTATTTTATAATTAAATCCTGATATCAGCACAGTATTTTGTTGGTTATGGTACAAAACCAAGCCTAATTGTTGCACATTTTTCAACTCTTGTGCAGAACAAACATTTTGTTCTGATCCAGATTTTTTAGCACTGTCTAAAACCACAGAAATACCCACTGACTTTCCTTTTGCCTTTATAGATTAGTATCTACCTTCCAGTAACTTCACTTTATATTACAGACAATGCCTTTAAGTTCTATTGTCCCGGGCACATGAGGAATGTTTAATAAGATGCTCAAATCTAAATATGCTCACATATCAAGAGGAACAGTCAGAAGGAAGCTATCCTGCTTCTTAAAATTTCATGCCAACACAATAATGGGCTATATTTCACTGAGTCAATGAATCCAAACTCTTGAATTATCCATTTCAAAACATCAGCTACAGCAGTCATTACAGAAGGAGTACAGCACCATATCCAGCTCTTACTAAAAAAACACATTGGATTACTCCTTTTATTATAAATTAGTCATATTTCACATTTTCTAGCTATGAATCTATGTATTAGTTGATATCAGATCACATAGGTAACAGCTTGACAGAATATATATTTGGGTTTAGCAGCAGATCTCTGGATGATCTGCTAAAGAGGAAATCAGGGAAAACTGTCCGCTTCACAATGCTTTTTTTGTGGAAGGATCATTTGTGCTGTTCATTTCTGGCACTGAAAACAAATATCAGGATATAATGCAAGACTCTTTATTCATAAATGCATATCTTAAAGGACTGTGTTCAAATCCAAAAAGGTGTTTTGGAGCATGAAGGGACATGAATATACCACCTGTCAGCATTTCTTAACAGAGCTGCATCTTTTTCTGTGATCGTGTGATCCCAAGGAAAGATGTGTCTGCTTTAAAGAGCTGCAAACAGGTGCTGTGTCCATGGCCCTATGCACTCTGAAGTTCCTTTTTGGAAGCAAATTCAGAATACTACTCAGCCCTAAAACCTTATGCACCAGGCTCAGTTGAGTAGGTGTTAGTGTACCTCTCTGCAAGCTTAAAGCCTGCCCAAAAGACCTCAAAAACATAGGTAATGTTTTTCACCTGACGCTGGACAGGAAATTATCTGTACCCATTCATTTAAATATACCATCTCTTCCTCCACTCCCAAATCTCTACAGGAAGGGAAAGCCTTCTCCCACTTTTCTTTTTCTCTTTCAATAATATTTACACTAAATTCCAGAAACAAACTACTCTAACTTCAATGGAAACAGGTTAATACATTTTGATAATAAAAAGCCTAACATATTTTATTTTCTATTGTTCATTTGACAATATTCTAACTGTTCATTCACACTGGTTTTAAAAAAGAAGTGTTAAACTTCATAACATAAAAGAACTAGGAGGCTTCTTGAATAGCGATTTAAACTGAACTGATATAAATAAATCCAAATAAGTTGTAAAGCTACATTTCTAACTATATTACTTAGGAGTATGACCAGTAAATCTATAAAGATATTATTTAAAATATATGCAAAATATATATGGTAAAATAACCTTTTCCTTTTCTACAGGCAATAAAGTTTTAATGTCACTTCAAAGAGGAACCTGTTTTTAACCTCTGTTACCAAAGAATGGTAATCAAATGTGATCGAATCAATTCAGCTGTGAGTCACAAGACTTAGGAGCATTCAAAATTCATTGATTGATGGGGAGTCATCAATCCACAGTGGAGACTTTTAAAGGACACTAAGTTCACAAACCTCACTTTCTGATCATTTTCAGAAATTGCTCATTAACTACTTCTAAGCTACTAGAGACCTTCAGAATGACAAGTCAGAAAACATGAAGTGCATCTGCCTTCAATCCTGAATGAAAGAAATTTTTAATCATAAACGTAAGAATTTAAAAAATATGAAATAAACAGCAAAAAGATAAATAAGATTTTGATTTTATAAAGTTAGAAAGTTATCTGGACTAAGGGTCCAGATAAAATTGGAATATTGAAAA